CTGGGTGACCCTGCTTGGGCAGGGGGTTGGGCTGGGTGACCCACAGAGGTCCCTGCCAACCACTGCCATTCTGTGATTCTGTGATTCTGTTTATCCAGGGGAAAAAAAGAAAAAAAAAACCCCTAGATCACGTGCTATGTTGTTGTTGTAAAAGTATTCTTAAAAACCCCAGTATTTAATATTAAGTAATTGTGACCTATATGATTTATGTGCCTGAAAGAAAGGCTGAAATGGCTGGGCAGGCTGCTAGCAGAGCAACCCATCCTGACCATAATTACACCTATTGTGTGGGTCATGCAATCTCTATTGCCTGGATGGAGAAGCCAAAAATCTTATTATTATAGTTGATAATGATGACAGCTGAACTGAGCATCTCTGGACAGAGAGGCAGCTGTGGCCAGGCTCTCAATAGTGAGGAAAAAAGCCTCTAATGCAATGTACAGCTTGAAAGTACGTCATTCCCATGGGTTTGCTAAAGAAAAGAGGAGCCAGGGCGGGGAAGAGGAACAGTTGGGAATTTGGGAGGGCAGATTTCAGGTCCTTCTTGCGACACGGAGTTTTCGCCTACCTGTGGGAGGTCAGCTCGCAGTTCCCCGCTGGAATTATGGATAAATGGAAAATATCGATGATTAAATCCAAAATATTTCATTTACGGTATGCTAGCCACCATGCTTTCAATATAACAGCAGCAGAAGAGACCAGCACGAGCAAGCCGGTCTGTTCGGAACAGAAATGGCTAGAGCTGTGCAAGGCAGATGACGGGCGAAGAAGACAGGCAGGGAAGTAAGACGGAAGAAGGCCAAAACCCAGACAACACAATTCAGACACGTTGACGGATGTTCTGATTTTAAGCTGCTAGAGTCTCTTCCAGGAAAGCAACATGTCATTTTTCATTCCTCAGCAATAACAGAGGCCCAAGGAATTGGGTATATATTGTCCAAATGACACATATAGAGTAAGTTTAACTTTCATATTCTCACCCTGCATTCTTCTTACAGTAGGAAACACATGTGCACAGTTATTTAAACTGTCAAGCTAATTCACAGTGCTCCCCAGGTAAAAACCTCCTAGGGAATTAAGCGGTAAGAAGGCAAAAGTTGCAAATTAAGGATTTTGTCATAGGATTTCTTCAGTAATACATTACCCTTGACAGACCAGAGAAGTGACAAATGCTCTAACTAGCTACCGACTGCTACGGCAATTAACGGCAGCGTGGGAGTGGAACCCGTGCTGCACCCTGCGCCTGGGACGGGGCTGCTCTGCAGCTCC